TTTAAAACTCGGCTTTCTGTTTTGTAGCTTTTCGAAATCGTTTCACAAAATAGGTTTTTGAATTTGAAATTCATTTTCTCGTTGGTATGAAAAAAAAAGCTAGTGAACTTCCGAACGGCGACTTTTCCGATTTTTTCATATCGCTAAAGAACTTTCCGACGGCCACCTTTCCGACTTTTTCCCCATATTTTTTTCGGTTTATAAAACATCTATTGACATTTTTTTCCTATTTCTTTGTGTTTTTAATCATGAATCAACCACCTACTTTATATAGGAAGGATCAAAACAAAGATTTTATCGAGAAAAAACGTCGGAAAAAGATTCGTCGGAAAGGTGGCCGTCAGAAAGTACCCTAGCGATATGAAAAAATCGGAAAAGTCGCCGTTTGAAATTTCGCTGGTCTTTTTTTCATACCACCATTTTTTCATTTTGCAAAGGTTATTACTCACCAAGTAGACCATGTGGAGGGGGGAGACATTGACATTTCTTTTCGGTTCGAAAAATTTTAGTGTTAATTTTCACCTGCTTGCTTTCTCGCTTCGTGAGCTCTTCGCGACAACCGTCGTTTCTCGTTAGAAGGAATTGCAAACAAAATCGAATTTTTGTTTTAAAGCAAATGGATTTCCCTACTTGCAAACGAGATCCATTCTTCAATATTTTCTCACTAAGGGTAGCACTTCTGATAACGTTTTTTTTCACCCTTCCCATAAACTTTATGGCTTTTTATTGTATCGCTTATAAATCGCCAACGGCTATGCAGAAAACATACAAATGGCTGCTGATCAATTGCCAAACTTGGTAAGCATTTCCATAACTTCTTTTCTATTCTCTATCCTTTTTTTACAATTATTCAAATGAAATGGTCTCAACTTGGTATTTAACAGAGTTTCCTTCATTTTTTTGTATTCCACGATTTAATTTAACGAAAAATATTAAGGAGCCTTGTTGTGGACGTACTGGCTTCAACTTTGATTACTCCAATATTTTACCTTCCAGCTTGGGGTGGCTATTCTATTGGATTTTTACAAACCATTGGAGTACCAATTACGGTGCAAATAGGGATCTCGTTTTTCGTTGGTCCATGTAAGCTATTCCACCTCATCTGTGGAAAAAAAATAAGATTTCAGGCATGATAATGTCGGTTTATTGCCTATTCGAGCACCGGCATCATTGCGTCACGCAAACGAGTAGCTGGTTCTATTTGAGCAACAGGAATCGCCTTGCACACATTGTTATTTTATTCGTTCTTCTGCAGATTTCAATCTATTCCCTGTTTTTTCTCGTACCAGAAGACCAGAATATTGCCAAAGTTGAGGCTATCAAGGTAAATTAGAAAAATTTTCTCACTGAACTGGATTTATCCTTTCCAGACACTTGGCTGCATTCCAGACGCTATTTTCACGTCGGCAGCTTTCATATTTGATCAAACTATCCGCGCAATAGTGGCTATTTATTTAATCGCGACTTTTTTGGCCACATGCGGAGGACTTTTGTGTTTCCGTATGTTTTATTCGCTTTTTAAAAGTCGAAGTCATATGTCGGCCAAAACCCGGCAACAGCAGAAACAATTCGTTTACTCCCTTCTTTTCCAGGTTTTCCCAAGTTTTTCGAGACAGCACAAAATGAGAGTTACAGATTCTCGTGCCAATAATATTCATAGGGACGCCACTAGCTTTTATATTTTTTTTGAAACTTCTTGACTACGATATGAAATGTATAAATTAATTTAAAAACGAAAATACAGCTCTCACTTCAGCGGTCTCCACGTTCGGAACCCTCTCTCTGAGTTTCCATAACCTTGCGGCCACTGTTACCTTGTTGTTATCAATCAAACCTTACCGAGTTTTCTGTTTAACCATTTTTCGGAGAAAAAAAGGTTTTTTGCAAATTTGACATCTTTCAAATTTTTATTTCCTTCAGCAAAAGTGTCGAAAGTCAGTTCACTACATTCCAAGAACGTTTCGCTCACTATTATTTGAATGATTCTCATCAGCACATGAAGTTCTTGTCAAGAAAGAAGACGTCAAATGTGAATGAAGGAACGAAAAAAAAGTACAAAGAAAGTCGGGATTTAGGAAATAGAGAAGACGTTACACGTTTCATTTTTCTTTTTCTTTTTTTTATTCCATTGAGCGAAGAGCTTGAAATTGAAACTCACATTCCGATGTTCGTCTGGAAATCTGTTTTTTTTTTTCTGAATGTCATAGATGATGGTTTTACAATGTGTTCTATGACATTTGAATTTTCTCTACTGTTTCCCAGATCACTGTTGGAATCACCTGCTGCAACTTTTCCAATTTGTTTAACTAATCACTTCTCTATGTACTTTTTTAGCGTCGAGGATGCCGAGAAAAAAAATTTGAAATCTGTATGAAAGATCTGGGGAGCTTTAATCGGTTTCAAGAGATATATTTAAAATTTGAGGTCCTTTGATATGAACTTTACCACGAAAACAAGGTTCACCTAGGATTGAAAAACTTTCTCAAGTACAAGTTAGGAAGCTTCTGCTTTCGATTCCTCGGAAGGCGTTTGAAAGCTTTCCAGCAATTGGTCAAATGCCTTCCACATACCTTACCAACACCTCTATTTACCATCCAACAGCCTGCTAGGAGGCTTCTGGCGGACGTATTCACTTTTAACCTTTCAAAGACCTTCGACTACCTTCTGATCACCTTCCCAAACCTTCTCAAGAACTTTTAGTTTTCATTCACCTTCCAACCTCCTGCTGGTCCCTTTACAAGATTCATATTTTGAAAATTGATGATTCATATTGCGGAACTTTTCTTAAAAGCTCTTGGGTGACCTTTTGACAAGTAACCGATATGTATATGACTCACCATATTCATATCTCTGGTCACCACTGGTCAATAAATAAGCGCTGGTCAATAAATAAGCGGTCCACTGGTCAATAAATAAGCGTCTGTTATCCTACTAAATCACACTTAATTTTTTTTGTCATTTCAAGGCCTGAAAGTTTACTCTTGTCTGGACAATTTTCTCCAAAAAATGCACCTGCCTTTTCTCTCCTAACATGTTTACCGAGAACTTTGTTTCGCCATGAAAATTGAGTTGCAAAGCCGCGTTTTCTTTTCAAATGAATTTCGCGACTTGTGAACGAGACTTATTTTTCAATTCTTTTACATTGCGAATATCACTCAATATCACATCGTTCATTACGGTGCCAATGAATTTTGTTGCTTTTTATTGTATTGCTTATAAATCGCCGCCAAGTATGAGAAAAACTTACAAATGGCTATTGATTAATTGCCAGTTTTGGTGAGTTTTTGAACTTGCAATCCAAGCGTTTCCGTATCAAAATCTCCAAATTGTCAAATATCATTCAGGAGTTTCATTGTGGACTTATTGGCTTCAATTTTGATAACTCCAGTCTTCTATCTTCCAGTTTGGGGCGGATTTTCTATAGGATTATTACAGTTTCTTGGTGTTCCTATTGCAGTACAAATTGGGATCGCTTTCTTCGTTGCTCCTTGTAAGTTTATTTCTTTCGAAAAACGAAATATTCTGATATCATTCAAAATAAAGGTATAATAATTGCTGTATTTTCCCTTTTCGAGCACCGACATCACTGCGTTACCCGGAAGGATAGTTGGTTTTGTTTCAAAGAAAAAACTCGCTATTCAATAATTCTAACTCTACTTTTTCTTCTCGAAATGTCGATCTTTTCTTTGTTTTTTGTTGTACCATGGGATCAAGCTATAGCCAAAAAAGAGGCTATCAAGGTTTTTTTCTTCGAAAAATTTCTTTTTAAAAGTGCATTTTTTGAGAAACTCGGATGCATCCCTGAAGCTATTTTCACAACGGCGTCTTTCATTTTCGATCAGACTTCTAGGGCATTGACGTCATTATCTGTAATCTTCGCTGTCTTCCTATTAATTGCAGTTTTTTTGTGCTCTCGGATACTTTATTCGCTTCAGAAAAGTCGGAATCACATGTCTGTGAAAACGCGACAACAGCAGAAGCAATTTTTCTTTGCTTTATTTTTCCAGGTTGGTTATTATTTTTTTATCAGAAAAGTAAATAAGCTGCAGATCCTCGTGCCGTTATTATTTATAGGATCTCCGCTGGTTTGTGTGTTCTTCCTTCACCTTTTCGACTTACCTATGCAACGTATGTCCGAATTTTTCAGAAGAGAAAAGGCTTTTCAAAAAAATTTTCTGTGGAGTTCAAAAGGCTTGAAGAGTTCAGGAAACGTCTCTTTGCCTCGAAGCCTCTTGTAAACGTTTTCCCCTACTTCCCAGAAAAAAGAGTTAGGAAAAAACGAATAATGTAAGAAATTTTTCAGCTTTATCTACAATCGGCACATATTCCTTCAGTCTCCATGGCTTCGCGGCCACTATGACATTGTTGTTATCCATTAAGCATTATCGAGTATTTTTATTGAATTTTGTTTTGAGAAAGAAAGGTTGGGATAAACTCGCATGATTCCTCCATTGACAGATTTCCAGACAAGCTTACAAATCCTTCACGACATTTCAAAAGCATGGTTTTGACAGCGACAATTTTTTGACTCTCTGGAAAAATCAAATTTCATCGATTTTATCTTTCATTTTTTTTAGGTGATCTACAGAGAAGCAACCGGGCATTTTTTTAAACAGGTTTTTACGTGTATTTTTTTAAATTTTTAAATGTTTGAATAAATATTTCTTTTTTCAATCAGTGCACGTTATCTTTCCAAAAAGTAATATGATTTTGCGCGATTACTAGGGAATTGAAATTTCAAGAAACTTCGATTAAAGTTAGTTTAAAGTCATCGCTCAAACTTCGCTTCTCATGCTTAGATCAAACCAATCAGAGAGCGAGCCATCCACAGAGCGTTCTTGGGGGCGGAGCTTAATATTCAAAATCCTGGAAAGACTGTGTGAATTAATCGAGACATGAACTTTTGGTCATCTTTTTAGAAACAAAAAAAACTTTTCACATTTTATTCGACGTGACTTGTCATCCATAAAGCTTCATTTCTTAATTTACTGGATTTTCGAATGGGCGTATTCGATGATCCAAAAAGAAATGCGATACGAGAAAAGACCAAATCTGGATTCTTCACTGATTTTTTCTTTCGGAGGTATCAATCCTTTGAAAATAATTTCTTAAAAAATATCCAGCTAAAACCTGCTTAAACCAAACCTGAATTGAAGAGTTGAAACCTCACTAAATTTTGAAAAAAATCATTTCAGTGAGGTCACCGACTACCGAAACCTGAGAATCGTGATAAATACCATATTCGGCATCTTTTTCTGCACCTCTCTCTACTATTTCTGCTGGAAAAAGCTCAACTTTGGCGATTTCGACGCAGCCTACGGGATTTTGTTGAAATGGTTCATGATTTTCTTGACCTTGTACGCGTTTGCGACGAATTCTGTGAGTTTTTGAAGATACTTTTTTTAAATTCGAAGTGAAATATTCAGCTTTTTCGTTGCGCATTTTTCTGTGTACTGATTGGCGCTTTTGGGAAACAAGGACAATGTGAGTTTTTTTCGGATGTTTCAGTTGTATGAGCATGGCTTTAAAGATTAAAGAGAAATTCATTTTTGAAGATCCCTTCACAATGTTAATCGTTGGAAATTTACAAGAAGGACCGATTTCCAACGTGGTTCATAATTATGAGCTCACTAGTGAACTTGTCGTTTGTCATTTGGAGCTTCAGTCGAAGGTACTTTCATGGGAAAAAGGGTTTTTATCGTAAAAAAATTTTTGTCATTTTCAGTCGATTCACCTCAATGGAATTCCACAAATTTCACAATTATACTCCATTCACCGCTAGCTTGATACGAAAATGAGTACAAAGACCCTCTCCCTTCCACGCTGTTTTAATAATCGTCTTTGAAATCATAGATGAATGATTTACCCTGCGCCCGACCAAAAACTCCTTGGACTCAAGCGAGAGACAAAAAAAAAAGGGAAGAGCGTTTGAGAACTGACAAGGAGAGTGTGTGAGGCGAACATTGCAGATCTAGCTCAAAATTCTGTGGTAGATAGTCCGAGGTATGATTACTCGAAAATAAAAAGAAATATTTGCTAGGCGCCATAGGGAACTAAGAAATAGCCTGTCCAAAACGAACAGAAAAAAGCTTAATAACTGATTTTCTTCAATTATTTTTGTTTACGAATACTTATAACTGGGACTACCTCCCACAGTAGTTTGATACATATCTGCGATGCTCACCTCCCACACTTCCCTCGTGAGGAAAAGTCGTGACTTGTCGATTTCGTTTTGAAGCCATTTTAAATGCGACAAAGACACTATTTCACTGTATATTTGAATGAAAAAGTGAAAGTTCAATCTTATTTCTCAATTTTAGATAATTTCTAACCGAGTCGCTTTGCTAACGGGTCCAATGGAAGAACTTGTTGAACGCATGATCAGTTCGTTTTTTTTTTCACCTTCAAAAATAAATAAATTACAGCAAAAGGAACCAGAACAATGCGAAAAATAGTGAAAGAAGTGCGAGAGCTGTTGTCGCCGTTTCTGTCCGATTTGACTATGGAAAACACGAAAGAGGACAAAAAAGCTGTCGAGGAAGCGATACAAGTTCAAGTATGCCTGTCATAAAGTCCCGAAGGTTCACCACAAAAAGCGTATTATCATTGGTCAGAACTACTGTGAAACATTGAGGAAAAAAAAAACTTCTAGATATTTCTTCGTTTTTTTGCTAGCGCTATGAAAAAAAATTAATTCATTCTAGAACATCGAGAAAAGAAAAGAAAAAATATTGAAACTTTGGCAAAAGGCACTCGACCGACCACTTACAGCAGATGATGAAGTTGTTAAGGTTCACTTTTCCTCTTTCAAGTTTCATAATAATTTCATTAAGGAACTAACATATTTGAACGATTCTTCCCTGGCCAACGTATCACTGGAACAACCGCCACCTTGGAAAACTTTCAAGACGCAGGTGATTTTGCTTTCCGATTTCGCAGGGTCAAAGAACATTTTTTAAATAAGATTATGAAAAAATAAGATTAGAGAGTTTGTGACACCTTTTTAGGAACTCAGAAAGGAGCTCTAGAATCTTTTTCTGTGAGGTCTTTCCGACTTTGTAAAGGAGAGTTAGGAACCCATGTGATAGTTTGGCGAATTATTTTAAATTCCAACTTCTGTTTGGTTTAAAAAAAAAGAGAATAACATACTAGAGTTCTTACCGGTCAGTTGGCTAGTTGACAAGTATAGCTGACTTACGGCTGACTTGAGCCATGGAAAAAGGAGTCCTGAAATGATAAGAAAAAGAGAAAAGGCCTTATTGGTAAGGCGCAGACAGGCCACGCCCCTTCATCTCTCATGTTAGCCGTGAATCGGGCTATACAGGTATGGGAAAACATAGTGTGAGGACTTTGATCTCGTTTGTTTCCCTCTCTAAAAAGTGAATGTTTTAAAAATCATAAATCACTAAAAAAAAATTTCGAGTCTGTGTGTTTAGAAATGTTAGGAAAGACAGGTGATACGCGATTCTTTAGATTTCGAAGATCTGGTCATGTGTTGTCAAAGGAAATGTAGATCTTTGGTTTTTCATCGGAATTGTTTATAGACTCACTCTGGGCAAAACAGTTTCAGTTAACGGTTTCTTTAAGCCATTTCTTCAAAATATCATAATGTTTTTTTTTTCATAAGGCTTGTAATTGTTTTCTGATAGCTATGGGTCTCAAAAATGCATTACTCGGAAAGTCTCGATAAAAAGTCAGATGTCGATCGCATGAAGCATGTGCACGAAGCCTAAAGCACGTGTCTTCCGGGTTTCTCGATCTTTGAAAAGATTTTCGAACAATTTTTCATGAATTGTGATAGGGAGTCCTATTATCGTGACTTTGTTCTTTTAACCTCTCCTATTCGCAGAAGTTCGACTTAAAAGTAATTTTTGATATTTTCGTTGAACCTAGTTGGCTTCAGTTAGGTTAGTGTTTTCTTAAATTCTATTGTAGTGAACCTCGTTTATTCAGAACTTTGGAAATATTTTCTTAGTGGAGAAATGGGAACAACTTTAGTTATGCGTTTGAAAGACTCCTCAAATGAGCTTTTACATTAATAACATTGAAAAATAGATTCCGGCAGAATGAACGATAATGTTTCGTCGACAATAAAAGGACGAGTGTTGATGATGATCCATGTAAACCGTAAAGAAATACCGACAAAGTACCCAGATCTGGAAGATATCAGTTTGATTTTAACTCTAAGGGTCCTTCGTACGTAAGGTTCTTAAGTTGAATATGGCTGTGACATTGAAAGCCATCATAGGCAATAACAACAGTACTCCAGGGATTAGAAGCTGAAATTTTTCTGAGACAAAATATTGGAAAAAGCAAACCTGGAACAATAAAGAGAGGAAAAATTGCATTTGCTGTTGTTTGGTTCCATGCGAGACATGGAATTGCTCCTGGCGAAGAAAATAAAATATTCTCACGCTGAATGAAAGAGCGACGAAACACGTAGGAACGGCCACTAGAAGTAAATAAGGTAGAGATATATAATCAACATCGATTATAAATGAATGAGACGTGAAAATCTCGTCTGGGATACATCCAAGTCCCTGAAATGATATGGTTTGTTCAGAGCTTTGACTGGGTCGCTTTTCTTTACGAAACTTTATTCAAATTATTCTCTTCCCGTTTCGAAGGCTATAAAATTGAATCATTTTTGATGAAGTTTGTTCATAAACTCAATTTACCTCAACAATTATAGACTTAGTTTTTTCCAGGTCTTCTGGCCTTTCAAGATACATCAGAAAGAAACATATTTCTTGAAAAACCAGCAAGAAAATGAATAAAGTGTATCGTTGTACTTTCCCAAAACGAAACCAAGCATTGCTTGGCGCTACACAATAGTGTCGATGTTCGAAAAGCGCAACGATTGAGGTTGAAACGCCTGGAAATGCATGAGTTTGAAGGAAACCTCACAGCTTTTTGTACAAACATGGGAAAAGGATTAGGGAGCCTGCAAATTGTATCTCTGCCGGTACGCCATGGCTCGAAGCAGACCATAAGTATAGCCGGCGAAAAAAGGACTATACAAAATAGGGGTGAGTAAAATAGTGACGATCGCGTCGAAAATAAAGGTCCTGAGAAACTTATCTTGTCAAAGGAAATCAAAAACTGAAACGACCAAATCTGAAAGTTGATTAAAAGTAATCTATATTGACGTAACATTTGTGATGGCGACTTGTAGACTATGCAATAAACGGCAAGAATGTTCAACAGCAAAGTGAAAAAGAAAGTCATAGTTCCTGTTGTTCGAAGGACATCGCCGTTGAAAATTGGATGATGCTCACAAGTAGGGAAGTTCATTGGGTATGAAAGTATCGCGGCGATTAAGCGTCGAATAGGAAGTGAGACTGCGAGAAGCAGGTGAACTTGAGATGAATTTTCCAGCTTGATTTAGTTGGAATTTCAAAAAGGGACATGTGAGAAAGAGAGGTTTCCTTTTTCCACTTGATGATTATGATGAGGAATGATCTCTCATCTATTTTCGATCCGAATTACATTTTCTTTATTTCCTTCTGGTCTTTGTTTCAAAATCGGGCGATTCTCTCTTTTTCATCATTTTAAATCCCAGAAAAGAAGTCAAAAACTATTTATTGGTATTAATGCTTGTAACTCTTGTCTCCCGACGTCTTCTTGCTTTAAATAAGTTACAGAAGAGGCCTTTGCAGAATAGGCGATAATGTTTTGTTGATAATAGTAAGACTAATGTGGATAATAACCCGTGGATGCCAGCCAAGAATACGACTATAACTCCAAGATCTACAAATCCTTCAGTTTGACAAAAAAGAAAGGTCATTTTTTTGGATTACGCAGTGAGTTGAGTTCGAGGAAGCTTGTGAAGTTGACGGCTACAACCGGAAGTATAATGAGTGCTGCTGGTATGAGGAGCTGAAGTTTTTCCGTCAAAGAATAACGTGGAAAAAATCCTGCCTGACAACATAGAGATAGAAAAAATCGCTTTTGTTGTTTTTGAGTTTTTGTCGAGACATAAGTTTGGGTGTTCAGAAGAAAATAACAAATCCTAGCGCTTGAAATTGTCACAAATAAGATGGCGGGAATTACTGCAATGCTGAAGGTGTACAACCCGGTATATTCAAGGTCCAGGATAGTAGAGTGAGGCGTGAAAATGCCGGCTGGAACACATCCAAGTCTCTGAAATGTTGAAAAGATTTATGACTTTTGCATGAATTGACCTCAACGGTTATTAGTTTAGCTTTTTCTTGGTCTTCCGGCATACTGATGAAGAAGATAAAGGACAGGATTTCTTGAAAAATTAGTAGCGAAGTGAGGAATATATAACTTTGGCCTCTGTTAAAACGAAAGGTAGCGTCTTTAGGAATCACACAATAGTGTCGGTGCTCGAAAAGAGCAACAACCGAAGTTAAAACACCTGGAAGTTGGAAGATAGTAACTTAATGAATAATTCATTCACATGGAGCAACCGCATAACTGACTGCAATTTGTACTTTATTAGGGACCCCGATAACTCTCAATAATCCATAGACACAGCCGCCACATACTGGACTATAAACTACAGGCGATTCCAAAACAGTAAAAAGCATGTCGAAAATAAAAGTCCTTAATGTTCATCTTTCAACTTGAGATTTTCCAGAAAACAAGTTCTTTACCATATTTGACAGTTGAATAGAAGTAATTTATACCGGCGTAGCATTTTTGACGAAGATTTGTAGAAAATGCAATAGACGGCTAATATATTCAGCAATAAATTAATAATAAAACTTATGATCCCAGAATATCGGAGGACATCTTCGTTGAAAATCGGATGGCGCTCGCAATTTGAGTAGTTCATTGAAAGAATAAATTTTGATGGAAAATAAACGCTGAATAAGAAGTAAAGCTGTGAATTAATTATGAAAATGTGTGAGAAAAGGAAAAAAAAAAGGCAGGTGCTATTATTACAAATTAGATTTCAAGTTTCAGCTTTTTTTTTATTGTCTAGCTAGTCGTGACAAAGCCTGTCTTTTTCTCAGAAAAACGATAAAAGGGTTTGGGCCACGCGCAAGTTAGTAGAAAATCGGTGGTATGAAAAAAAGAGCAGCGAAAATTCAAACGGCGACTTTTCCGATTTTTCATATCGCTAAAGAACTTTCCGACGGCCACCTTTCCGACGAAACAATTTCCGACTTTTTTTCCCATATATTTTTCGGTTTATAAAACATCTATTGACATTTTTTTCCTATTTCTTTGTGTTTTAAACATGAACCAACTACCTACTTCATATAGGAAGATTTAAAACGAAGGTTTTATCGAGAAAAAAGTCGGAAAAAGATTCATCGGAAAGGTGGCCGTCGGAAAGTTCCCTAGCGATTTGAAAAAATCGGAAAAGTCGCCGTTTGAATTTTCGCTGGTGTTCTTTTCATACCACCAGAAAATCAGTGATACATCTATATATTTTAGCTGCGAAATTTAAATACAAGCATAGTAACCTTGTACACAGCTTTAATGAACACAGTGTGACGAGAGCATTGCAATCTCATGCAAATGATTTATATTTATTTTTCACAGCCTAATTTTTAATAATAACATTGATAGATTTGACCTTTCTGTCTTTTTTTCCTATATTTGCCTTAATCATGTTTCTCAGCTTCGATTTTACTGCTTTATAATTGCCAGCTGAAGAAATTCGTTTCACATCAAGCTTGGTGTTGTGTTATTGATAATTTTCAATCATTATTTAGATATTTGAAGGCTTGTAATTCTTGTTTCCCGGCGCTTCTCCTTTCTGAAGAGGTTGCATAAAAGGCTCTCGCAAAATAAACGATAATGTTTCGTTGATAAAAGTAGAACCACAGTTGAGGATAGCCCATGGAGACCAGCTAGGAATATGACCACGATCCCAAGATCTGAAAGTAGTTCATTTTCCAAATAACTTCGAAGTTTTGAATCACGCAGTGAGTGCAGTTTGAGAAAGCTTGTGAAATTGACGGCAATGACTGGAGCTATGATGATAACTGCTGGTAAAAGAAGCTGTAAATGTACTTTTTCAGAATTTCAGAATTTTTACATTCCAAAAAAACCAAACCTGGCAACATAAAGAGTCGAAGAATCGTTTTTGCTGTAGCCGCGTTTTTTCCGATGTGTGTGAACGGGATTTTTTGAGAAAATATATAATCCTTAAACTAAAGAATAGGGCGAAGAAAACGACAGGAATGCCCGCGGATATGAAAATGTAGAGACCCACGAAATCGAGGTCGATAATAATGGAGTCGGGTGTGAAAATGTTGTCTGGGATACAGCCAAGTTTCTGAAAAATAATGCTGAAAAAAATCACGAGTCCTTTCGGGAAAATACCGCGACAGCTCTGATTTTTGGCCTTCTCTTGGTCTTCTGGCATTTTCAGAAACAGGATCAAAGATAGAAGTTCTTGATAAATTAGGAGGAATATAAGAAAGATGCATCTCTTCAACTTTCCGAATCGAAAAGATGCATTAGTTGGCGTCACACAGTAGTGACGGTGTTCGAAAAGGGCTATTACTGAGGTTATCATGCCTGGAAATGTTTTAACTGATGGAGCTAAAAAAACTCAAAAAGTATTTTAAAGTCTTCTCAAAATTTGAAAGGCAGTAAAAAGTAGCTTGAAGAAAGCTTACATGGAGCAACGAAGCAATCAAATCCAACTTGTACTTTTGTTGGCACGCCAAATATTTGGAACAGCCCGGAGAAATAGCCTCCAAATACCGGACTATAAATGATTGGAGATCCCAAAACTGTCATCATCAAGTCTACGACGAATGTCCTAAAAGTTTCATTGGCTTAAGAAACTCAAAAAAGTTGTTCAGAAACCATAATTGGCAGTTAATAAGCAGGAATCTGTACTGGTGTAACATTTGTGGCGGAGATTTGCGGAAGATACAGTAAACGGCTAGAATATTCAATAGTGAAGTGAAACTGAAGGTAACGGCTCCAGATATCCGCAGAAAGTTTTCGTTGAGAATCGGATGCTGCTCACAAGTTGGATAGTCCATGAATGGATATAACCTTGTAATAAATGTGCTCAGAAGATCAGAAAGTATTGGAGTTCTCCAGGTTTCGGAAAGTTTGGAAAAAGGTCTCCTCGTATAAATAACTCTGAAATGTCTGCTTACAAAGATCAGGTGTTATTTCCGTTTTTTTAGTTTATGAAGGTAACGCATTTTTGCTCAAAGAAAGAAGTTGAAAAGTGAAAATATCATGGCAATTTTTGGTTTGTGGGCGTCGACTTTTATGCTTTTCGCTAGAAATTTGGCCTTGAGACAAGTTTAATTGAAGCCTTTGCTCCCTATGTTTATAAGGAGCACCGTAATTTCGATAAGAACGCGAAAAAATTTTTCTTTCGAAATTTCCTCGTTCTTGTCATCTCTCAATAAAAACAGTCATCAGGAAGAAAAGTTAATTCCCAACAAATTTATCAAAAAAAAATTATTTATTTATTTGATTGTAAGCTTTTAACGCTTGTTTCCCGAGGTCTTTGTACTCTCACGGCGTTTTCGAAATAGGCTCTTGCAAAAATTCACGATACGGTTTTGTTGATAACAAAAGAACAATTGTAGATAAAAGCCCGTGAAGACCAGCAAGGAATATGACTACGATCCCGAGATCTAAAATTTTTGAAAATTAACTTTAACCAAGAACAAAATATTACGCAGTGAAGTTAGTTGGAGGAATCTTGAGAAGTTGACAGCTACGATTGAGGGTAAGATGAGTGCGGCCGGTATGAAAAGCTGAAATTTTTCTCATCGAAGAAAAAGAAACTGGAAAAAGGTCACCTGACAACATAAAGTCAGGAAGAATCGTTTTTGCTGTTGTCGTGTATTTTCCGAAGTATGGTAATGGGTTCTGAGAAGGAAGTAGACTATTCTCAAACTGAAAAATAGTCCTAAGAAGCAGACCGGAACACCCGCTGCTATAAAAATGTAGAGACCCACTAAATCAAGGTCTATAATGATAGAGTCAGGTGTGAAAATGTTGTCTGGAGTACAGCCAAGTCTCTGAAATCATCGGAACTTTTTATAAGATTTTTCGAATACCTCGACAGCTATCCTCTTAGCTTTTTCTTGATCTTCCGGCATTTTTGAGAATAAAATGAAGGAGAGAACTTCTTGATAAACTAGAAGCAAAAGAAGGAGTGTGAATCTTTTGTAATTGGTCAAGCGGATAGATGCATAACTTGGCGTCACACAGTAGTGACGGTGCTCAAAAAGGGCTATTACTGAAGTTACCATGCCTGAAAACGCTTCTTATTTTATCGGAAAACCCGAAAAAAGGTTCCTACATGGAGCCACGATGCAATCTAAGCCAACTTGAAATTTCGTAGGTACGCCAAAAAATTGAAATAACCCAGAGAAATAGCCGCCAAATACTGGACTGTAAATAATAGGAGACCCCAAAACTGTCATCATCAAGTCTATAACAAAAGTCCTGAAATTTTCATCGATGAAATAGCTTGTAGAGCGTTTGAGTAACCATAGTTGACAGTTTATCAGAAGGAATCTGTACTGACGAAGCATGTGAGCTGGAGACTTGTAGAATATGCAGTAGATGGCCAGAATATTTATTGAAAATGTCAAGCTGAATGTAGTAGCTCCAGATATTCGAAGAAATTTCTCATTGAAAATTAAATGACGTTCGCAGAGTGGATATTCCATAAAGCGATGCAAAATTCTCCAAAAAAGTTGGAAGAAGCTGAAAAAATCAGAAATGAATGAAAAACTAAATGCAGAGAATGGTAAGGTTCTATTTTGACTTACGAAAACTTCAAAAAGTAGGAAAACTTTGCTCGAAATAACAAAGTGAATGCAAAAACGTCTGCAGACAAAGTTCAAGTGTTATTTCAAGTTTTCAAATTTCTAAATTTAACAAATTTTTGCTCAAGAAGCGGAAATATCAAAGCGACTTTTGGTTTGGGGGCGTCGCTTTTTTTTGTGATTTTAGCTCTAATTTCTGCATTGAGACAAGTTTAATTGAAGCCTGCGTTTCGCACTCAAAAATAGCCATGTAATTACGAAAAGAAACACAAGGACTTTTTTCGAAAATCCTTTTGAGATTTCAGAAGGAATTCGAGAATTTTTAGCTGATCAAAACAATTTTTTTTTCAAATCCATGGAATTTTCAAGAAACTTCTCTTGAGAGCATTTCCTAGCTTCTCGCCCAAGGCTCTCGATTTCAAAAACTACTGAGCCACTCAGCTATTTTTCAATGTTTTCATGACTATTTTTCGATGAAATAATCTATATACCTCCTAAGTTTTAAATTTTCAGTTCGCCCAGAAGTTTGCCGCACGGATGACCAGCAGATGTGATGACATTTTCAACAAAGGGATTGATAAATGTCGAGATTTAGCGACTCAATTAGTTGTCAGTTTATTGAATTTTTGGTTTTGGAATGGTTCTTTGGGACGCGCACGACTCACAACAACTTTTAAAAAAAAATCAGAAGTCGGTGGAGGGTTTATTTCAACCGTGAAACGACCGCGACGCTTCTCTGCCAGAATAGCGCACGGTGCGGTCTAGCCTTTAGCACTTCGGTGCGTAACTTGTGCCTGCACCGTGCAATATCGGTGATTTTTTGGTGCCGCACTGGTGCCTCATGCTGAAAGCACTGCTTTGACACCTATGCACCCGTGTGGCACCAAAAAATCACCGATGTTGCACGCTGCAGGCCCAAGTTACGCACCCAAGTGCATGAGGCTAGACGGCACCGTGCGCCATTCTGGCAGAGTTAGAGCCATTCTAAATGCGGTCATAACCATTTGAAATTGACCATCTATGTTGAAGGTTATCTTTTTCAGAATGCGTGCAAGGAGGCGATTTTTTGGCCTTTGGAGATGTTTATCTGTCCCCAACTCAACATTGAAAGCATCTGCAATGTAATTTTTAGTTATTTAACCGGTGACTGAAGAGCGAAACAGTGTCAGAAAAGAAGAGATTTAGACATCTCTGGAAGATTTTTTGTTCTAGGCTAGCTGCTGGAGGTGGATGTAGGACAATCCTTTTCTAATTCGTTTTCGATTTTCAAAAAAGTTGAATTCAGAACCTACAAAGAAGGGTTCAAGCCCAAGAACTGTGTCGAACCCAGTTGGAGAAGGCCAAAATGGACCCATCGATGGAAGGCGACCTTCTTGATGTGATGAACATGACGGAGGAGCTTGAGGAAAATTCCAAGATCAATGTAAAAGCGTACAAAAAGAATAGTAAACCATCTAATTTTCAGCTTCACACAGCCCTTGTTGAGTCACCCAGGTTGGAAGTTGAATATCAACTCTCAGATCTGAAAGTCAAGGTCAAGACGGCGAGCAACTATGTAAAGGTAGGCTTGGAGTTTCTGTAGAAATAAAAAAATGGGTATTTTTTTACAGGGCCTCATTTCCATCACTCGCCAAGCGATTCAAGCCTTTTTTGTCTATTTTGTTTATTGCATTTTCCGCGACGCGGTTGGAATGATCCGAAGATATAATGAGGATGTGGACTTTAATAATTGTTTTGTGAACTCGTGAGTGAATAATGAGAATAAGAATCAAAATTTATTGCTCAGTGATTTTTGGAAAATTGATCAGTACCGAAGCCAAAAGGGTCAAGCTCATTTGACGCATTTCTCGAAAAGTGAAGTTCGAGAGTGGCATGTTCTCAATTTTTTCAGGTCTGTTATAAATGAATCGCGGAAGAACAGTCCATAAAGTTTATTCTAGGTGTTCACCCTTTTTTTGAAACTTTTTAAAAAAAGGAAATACTCTTTTCTGATTTTCGTCAGAGGCCGATAATTCAATTTTATTTGCTTTCAACTTATTTAAAAGTTTATGCATAGGGTCTCAGTTCGGGAAACGAAAAAAATTTACACTTTTGTGAAATTTCATTTTTTTGCTTGTTTTCCAAAAAAATTAATATCTATTGCTACTCGATGTTTTGAAAACCCGAATAATAAAATGTGGACATTGTCATTATTATTTTTCGTAGCTTCCCGACGAAAACGGAACGTCGAGCGGCTCTGAGGCCATTCATCAGATGGTTCGTGCTCATGTTCACCGTTGTGATGTTGGTCCTCGTCGATTTCTACTTCTACAGTTTCCTTTTCTCCGTTGTCGATGGAGCGAAACAGTCTGTCAATCAGACCGGTCAATCTTCGGCAAATATTGAGGTTTTTTTTGAAACATTTTGGCCAGCTTTACTGTATTTCAATGACATTTCAATTGTGATTTTCTTGTTTTTCAGGGCATTAGTTTTTCGATTTTTTTTTTGATTTCAATGTAGAGTAACAGGTATCCAAGACCGTTATATGAGGGCTTTATGATCATTTTTTAGGTTATTTTCTTTCAGATCACCGGAAATGGAACGGTGGCTGATTTTCTCAAAACCATGGTTAATTCGAACCAGAGCGTTGAACTTGATAAGGTTAAAATTTCTGAAACTTTGAAATGAAATGACTTTTTTTTTTTTGAAATTTAAGGGGTTTTTTCAGAGCATTATGTAAGTAGGATCTTTTTAAATCTCTTGTAACTATAAACTTCGAGCAAAAATTATGGCGCCTATTTTGTCAGCTTATAAAATTGAAGATTTTTGCCGAGTTTTTTTCATTCTTCTTTTTGAGTTATGACGGTAGTTTTTTAAAGTTCAAAATTTTAAGGAATATAGTCAATGTTTCCCGACTTGAAAGGCGAGAAAGGCGGGGCAAGGGGCGGGACGCGTAGCGTGTGCGTTCGCGGTCCTTGCCACGTGTTCAATTCAACCGCCATCTACTCTTTGAAAAGCCCGTTTTTTTCGCTTTTTTTTCATTCTTTTTTTCAATTATTTATTGATTATGTTCATGTGTGCATCAAGAAATTGTAGAAAAAATTGAAAAAGAGCGGTTGCCGAGCTTTTTAAATAGTCGGCGACAATTGAATTGAACTCGTGCCAAGAACCGCGAACGCACACGCTACGCGTCATGCCCCTTGCCCCGCCTCCTTCTCCTTTCAAGTCGGGAAACATTGACTATATCGTATTTCATACAAAATTTTCATCTTTTTCCAGACAATATCTAACGAACACTGCCTTATCTACCCCAGGCCGCCAAATCGGGACATTTTAATCTGGTGGCTTTTCGTTCCTCTTATCTTGTCCTTTTTATTCCAGGTTAAAACGTGATTTTTGATCGAATTCTTCTCCTTTTCCAGGTCCTGTTTTCATTCGCGATGCGTAGAATCGTAATCAATTACTTTATGCCTTTCATGTACCCTAGACGGTCTCGTGTTAGGCTTATCTATCTTTTTAACAAGGTTCTTTTTTTGAAAATTCTCTTTATTTAAAAAAAGGTTTCAGCTTCTGGTGAATCGAGAGAAGCACAGAAGTCAAGCTCGTGCTAGGATAAGGTTTATAGTTGAACGATGGAATGTTCAAACGGAAGAGGCTGCTGGGTGAGTTTGTAAAAGGGTCGCATTTGGAATGGCTCGAGGCGTCGCGGATGCGTTGCGCTATGAACGATTCAGCATCTTTATTCAATGCTTCTCGATGCATCATCGTGAAAGTCGTTTTAAGTCAGCAACCTCTTTTAAGAGTACTTAAAAGCCATTTCAAATTTGATCGCTTTTTGCTACTGACTGTATCTTCGATATGTTGAAATTTCAGCGCTGATTGGCTTGCACCTGACTCCTTTCTGAAATTTTATATCATCGATAAGCTCTTCAGAACTTCCAAGTGTCTACTATGCAACGTGAGTTGAAGTTTCTTCTCTTTCACAAATAAAATCAGGATTTCAGGAACGAATGAGGCCACACCGATTGTTATACTGTTCACAGGACAAATGCCAGGCCAGCTTTTGTCAAACTTGTGTCGATGATAATCATGGGATGTGCTATGCTTGTCTTGTGAGTCGAACGAATTTTCAGAAAGTTGAAATAGATCATTTAAAGGATAGTTGGGTAGAAAGTGGACTAGTAAAGAACTCAATAAGTCCGGGAAAATGTGTTTATTTACAAAAATGGCGAAAGTTAAGGTGTAAAAAAAGTTTAGCTTCAGGAAGAGAGCGATGACAAGATGAAAATCACTTTCTGAACTTCGATCTCCTGAAAAAATGTAGATGCGAAACTTTGAAAGTTCCCGAAAATTTTTTAGATTTTTTTGACCCCTCAAGTTTATCGACAGATCGGAGAAGCTTCCAAAAGCTATGCATATATATATGTCTTCTAAACTTAGAAGCCTACTAACGAATAAAAAAGCTATTCCAAAGACTTACAAATTTTCTATAAAAAAAGATTAATTTTTTAGGTTACAGCCAAAGAGGTCAACTCACAACGAAGCCAATTGCTTGTGAGTAATTTCCGATCTCCTTTTTTTTTCCAATTTCTAATTAATTTAGCCGATTGGCAGACCTTCAAACCCGGAAAACAAGCACAAATTTCTGACACACGCCGAAAATATACGCAAAAAAGTGATGACAGCGCCGAAAGTTGAGAAAAACACTGCCCCTGGACTACCCAAACAAGAATAACGGGAATTTATCATTTTTCTTAAGTAAATTAAAGAAATTTTTATGCGAGAAGCTTTTATCAGTGGAGCAAACTTGGACGGGTTACAAAACCGTTTTGACGGTTATGACGCTGGCTTGTAGGAAAGTGATGTTCTTTGTACCTGAATGAACATTTTTAAGCTTTTTTATACCTATTAAGTTTACTTAGAACCACTTCGTCAACGCGTCAGACAAAAAACTAGTTTTGCTCAGCGGTATCTTTCGTAATTGAGAAAAAAGTCGCTCAAGGACTCTGCGGCTTTTTTACGGCTTAGCACAAAACTTAGCGCAACTGCGATTATTTTTAATATTCACATGATATTTCAGGGCGCTCATGGTCTTTAAAAATAAAACGAACTTTTTGTTTGATCAAGACGGACTCTGCAGAAGACTTTTAAAACGAATTTTCGATATTTTGTGATAGAAGTTAACAAAACGAAAGTAGAAAATAGGCCATGAAGACCAAAGGAATATGTGCCGAGGATGCTTATATCTGAAAATTCCCAGTTATTCATAATTGGTTCCTCTTGAGAATCCACATGATAAACTCCCGATTGGCTTTAGAACTATCCGAACGAAATAGGCGACCATAAATGGTCCAATTATCAGTGTGAATGGGATGACAATCTGAAGATTTTTAAAGTTTTTTTTTTCGAATTTCGGGTTCAATCAAACCTGACAGCAAAGCGAGATGAAGAAGGTTTTCTGTTGATCGCGCGTTTTTGCGGAAAGAGTTTGAGCTTTCAACAAATAATAAGAAACCCGAAAACTGAATAAAAGGACAGGGCAGCCGCCGATCAAGGCTATCACTCGGAACGTGACTACACACAAGCCAGTCAGGTCAATCACGTAAGTGTATGGCGTAAACATGTCTTCCCCGATACAGCCGAGCCGCTAAAATAGCGAAAGTTATGTTAAAAATAATCTTCTGATGTGAAATATGCTTTATTTGCCATGACTTGGTCTGACTAGTTGATTAGGGTAGTTGTTTCGTACAAGATTTCGAAATCGTTTTGTTCGCAATATCACTATTCTTCTACCGTTTCATTTTAAGTTGTTACGGTAGCTTAAAGAAGATCTTTTTTTTTCGACCGGTTCAACCGGGGGTGAAAACCTTCCAGGTCGAACGCCAAGTGCACCGAAAACATCAACGAAGCTTTTTTTGGGGTCGACTGCGGGTTACACCCTTTTATGTTGAATCGTTGCGAGAAAATTTATCAAGGTTCGAAAAAAAGTTCAACAAGGCGCGTCATAATTATTGACTCACTTTTTGATCTTTTTTTCATTTTTTTTTAAGCCTGATCAATTTTTAGAAAGGAACTTCATCATATGTCAATTTGATGTGATGTAAAAAAAATCCAAACGCTATTTTCATTACAAAAATATCATTTTTCGTTATTTTTGCGTGAAATTTCCACAAAATACGCTGTGCGTCATTATTATTGACTTTTTACCTTATTTTTTTTTGCGGTACTCCAGACAGCTTTTGAGAATTCTCGGGAGGATACATATATTGCTGGATTTAAAAAATTTCTTAAAACAGTCTCAATTTTCGTAACACCTCTTTTTGTAGAGAAAAAATCGTGAATTTTATGAGGATAATCACTATTTGACATGAAGTAAAACATTCTATCCAAAAATGTCCTATTTTCAATACTGAATTCACAGTTCAAGTCGAACCTTTTCTTTCAATTTCATTGAAGAAGTAGGCCTTACCTTGACGGCCTCGAGTTTTGCTGAATCTTGATCTTCCGGCATATTGAAGACAACGTAGAAAATGAAGAACCCGATTAATAAGAATTGTATCGAAAAAAATAAACAACGCTTTTTATTACTGAAGTAGAGCCAACTGTCTCGAGGAGTCACACAAAAATGCCGATGCTCGAAAAGAGCGACTACGGAAATTATCAGAACTGAAAAAGAAGGTTCAAATTTGAAATGAACAGACTTTTAACTCGTGGCAACGGTTGAGAAGATAAAAATTTGGCTTTTTGGTGATATACCCATAGCTCGGAATAAACCGATTGTATAGATGCTCCAAATTGGTGTATGGAAAATGGGTACCATCAGAACAGTGACGACAATGTCCAAGGCGAAGCTCCTGATTCAATTATTCAGTTAAAGTTGATGGTTAATCATTGATGACCATTTTATTACTTGCTTTTCACTATCAGGGGACCTCGAGTCTTCCTTTAGGTATCAATTTTCTCCCATTAAATTTGATTAAAATCAACTCTAGTAGGCTCTACAAGTTGCTGAGGAAATTCGTTTTAGCCGAATTTATTCATGACCTTATCATATCATATGTTGTTTAAGCCATTCCAAGTTTGGACAATTTGTTATGAAGCGAACTTTGTACCCCTTTCAACATCAGACTTTTTCTTTTTTTTTCCATTTGATTCTGAACTTCGAAGACACGAAACAACTTTTTAACACTCACCAAACTTGGCAATTTATGAGAAGCCATCTGTACTGTTTCAGCATACTAGATGGAGATTTATAGACGATGCAATAGAAAGCGAGAATATTGAGTGGAAAACTGATTCCAAAACTGACATGTTGAGCTATTCGAAGGTTTTCAGCATTGAAAAGGGGATGTGGCACACAGCTTGAATAACTCATGTGTTGAGGAAAATGATTTTATGATTTTAAGCTGGGAAAAGGAGTATTTGACTATGAAAACAATTTGATAGGAAAAAAGGGACAGGTGGTTTTTAATATGAATTGTTTGAGTTGTGAGCTGCAAGTTTTCAGTTGATTCTAGGAAATTGAGAATGAAATCGCTTAGAATTTTTTTAATTAGAAAAATTAATTTGATAGGGGTTTTTGTACTCTGGAACGGGTTGAAAAGAGGAAGTAGAGCCTATTATTGAGTGAAAAACTTAAAACGACACCTGCCTCTATTGGATTTTCTGAAAAAATATTTTCTACATTCATTTTGATAGCAAGATTTAAAATTGCTGTTTCCGTGGTAAGAGTACTCTATTACCGTATTTTTTTTCAGAATACACCGATAAATCATTTTTCTGACCGTTGACTTGTTCCAGAACTAATGAAAATAGGCAAAGTCGGAAAGGGTGGAAAAAGGCTCCAGTGAAATTTTTCTTTTAGGTTGATAAAGGTTTCTTTTTTGCTGCCTTTTTGCGCCATTTCATCGGCTCTTATGCACCCTTTTTGCTGCCTTTTCCTTTTTTCACCTTCAGCCTTTATAAAATCCCAGGAAAATGGAAGGCTCGATAAAGGGACCCTTTTGCTGCCTCTATCTCTCTTAGCGACCATTTTCCACCCTTCCGACTTTGTTCGAGGAAATTCCTAAGGTACTGATTCATTTTCAAAAACAACAAAAAGTTGCCTTTTTTTTGTCATTTTTTGCACGGCGGAACGCTAAAATACATCAAAGCTCAATCGAATTATGATGAATGGAATGAAAATGCGTAGATTTGTACCCATTTCGTTTATGTTGTTTATTTTTATTAGAAGTGTTTGAATTTGAACAGAAAAAAAGTTTTATTCAGTGGTTTTTCGGTCCCTTCTATAGGAAAAATGGTCTAAAAACAAATTCTTTTAGTTGAAAAAAAAAGAATCAGATATTCCTCCAGCTGGCGCTCAACGAATATTTATACTTGACAAAGCTGACAACCGGCTTTGATTCTAAATTTTATCTTGTTTAAGAAAAGTTGTAAAATTCACAAACGTTGCTCTGAATGTTCACTGATTCGGAAAAGTCTGTAGAAAGGCCCCAGACAAAATGATCGATAGTGTTTTATCGATGACAGCAGAACGATTGTGGAAAATAGACCGTAGAGGCCGTAGGAGAAGGTTGCGACCACTCCAATGTCTGAATTTGTTTATTATCTGTTCTTCAGATATTTTTGAAGTGAGTTACATAGAAAGTTTCCAGTTGGTCGTAGAAATGAATTGATTATATGAGCGGCGAAATAAGGGCTCATTATAAGTACCAAGGGTAGCATCACCTGAAATTTTTGTGGTTTACAAAAATATTTCATTGAGAAAATTCAAGGAATTTCGCATCTGAGAATTCATAAATTTTCTTCACAGTCATATTGCGAATCTTATTAGAAAGGAAAAAACGAAAAATTTTGAAATCCTAAACTTTTTGAGCGCTTTGAGACGTGAAGCAGTTTGATTGAAAGCTTGAAATTCGGTTGAAAAAAAGAAATTGAAAGGGGCAGTTTGAACCCTAATTTTTGAGCTTCAAATTTTTTTTCTTTCTTCAGATTGATTTCTTTCTAATTTTTTCCCTTTTTATTATCAGGCAACTTTTAGCTTTAACAATTACCTGACAAGTAGGATCACAAAAACGAAATCAAAGTTTTTTTTCGAAATTTCGTTGGATATTACAAAACTTTTAACCAACCTGACAACAAAGCGATAAAAAGAAAGTTTTTTGTAGCTCCCGCGTTTTGGCAGAAATATTTCTTGGTTTTAACAAAATATGACAAGTCCTGACACCAAAAAAGATAGTTGGAACGCCAGAAATAATGTTAAGAAGGCCGAAAATAATCGTGTAATTTTTCGTCGGATCTATTACACCAGCGTTTGAAGTGAAAATATCTTCAGGGATGCAGCCGATTTCCTGTAAACGGTACTTTTCTCAAGGAAGAGAAATTTCTGTTTTGCCTTTAAGACTGTTATTTTTGCTTCAGTCTGATTTCCGGGAACATTCAGAAGCATCCACAGGAATAGAAGCTCCATGATCATGAATTGTAAAATGAAGAAAGTGTATCTCGTCTTCTTTTTGAAGAAAAACCAGCTGTCTTGAGGCGTTACACAATAGTGTCGATGCTCGAAAAGAGATCCAACGGCGGTTAGAATGCCTAGAAACTCGAAAATTTTATGATTTTTTGAACTGTCGTACATGGAGCAGCAGCAAAGGTTATTACAAGTTGAACACTTAGAGGTACGCCCATTTCGCGGAATAATCCAAGAGTATAGGCTCCAAACGTCGGAGTGTAGAAGAGAGGAATCAGCGTCAAAGTTGACTGAATGTCCACGACGAAGGTCCTGGAAAAGTTTCAAATTTCGACAGGTTTTCTTCTTTTTATAGCTCTCTCATCGTTTTTTTACAGCAAAAATAAGTTGAAAAATTAGCTAATTGGTGACAAAAAGTTGGAAGCATAATAGCCCTGAAGCGGTTTTTTGTAAACTAGCGGATAAGTGAATAATTTTCTTAAATGATCTAGCTTGATCTCGTTTTTGTTTTTCTAGTTGATTCCTGAGTATCAAAAGATTCAATTTACCCAAAAAAATTTTTTTTCTTTTTATTTAATTGACTAAACTCTGAAAAATTTTATACATTTTTCAAGAAAATTTTTGATGTTTCTTTCATAATTTTCTTGTGAACCCCTCCGATTTTTTTCGTGATTCGAATTTCATCGTTAACCTGTACACTTTTGCCTGAAAATATAGAAGTTTCTAGAGAAAAACAATTTGAAATTTTTTTTTCTTTTTTTATTTGAGTCTGAGTAAATATCGGCTTCTGAAAAATTGTCACAAGTTTTTCTTATTTTTTTGAAGAAGAAAAAATTTTTTTGATAATCATCGGCTAAATTTGAGCTTATCTGTAATTAGTATTTTTTAACAGCAGAGAACACCTGTCTACTAGGAAAATCTGTCTCAAAAAAAAAGTCTGAGAATTTATGACTCATATGCGAAGTTACGATTTCAAAGTTCTTTTTTTCTTTTTGGAAGAAAGTTATAAGGCTCTAAAACAATTACAGAAACAGGTATTTGCTACCATTTTTTTGGAAAGAAATTTCTAATGAAAAATTGATTTTTTTAAAAAACTAGTTTCGAGATTTCTGTAACATCTATACATGCACGTAAAACGGTCACAATTCTAAAAAAAGAAAATTTTTTAAAAACTCTTTTACCATATTTGACAGTTGACGAGAAGCCATTTATACGTCCTTAACATGCCTGGCGGAGATTTATTGAGAAATACAATAAAAAGCAAGAATATTCAGTGGGAAACTGATTCCAAAAGTGACGTGTTGAGCAGTCAGAAGATTTTCGGAATTAAAAAATTGATGTTTCTCACAAATCGGCAAGTCCATCGCTCGAAAAAAAATATGCTGGAAAGGGGAATTTCGCAGAAGACTTGAAGCTAAAAATCGTTGAAAAAAGAAAATAAGGGGGCAGGTGCTTTCGTAATTTTATTTCACTTTGAATATCACAGCGTTCTGAGATTTGGTTCTTTAGTTTGAAAGTCAAATCTCAACTTTGTTATGAGAATAGAGAATTTTATAAATGATGAAAGTTCTTTTGGATTGATAAGTGTGTTAGAATGTACTTTGGAAACTTTTTTTTGGCTCAAATCAAGCGTGAAAGTTCCCTACTATTCTTTTTACGGAAATCACGTTTTATAGTTTTCCGACTCTCAAGGTTTTGTATGAGGAAGTTGTCCGCTCCACTTGGGTGGCGAAATCATTTATAATCTTCCTGTTTAAATCTTCCAAAGAGGTCCCCAGTTTCCGGAAAATTCACAAGTTGATAGGATTTTTGGTAAATTAACCGTACGTGAAGGCGTGTGAAAGTTATCATTTTTATCCATTTTCAAACGGCTCAGCGTTGGGATGATCATACTTCAGCTACTGATTTTCGGAACCGCATTAGCTTATGAAATTGAATACTCAAAATACAAAAGTGTCAAGAAAATGAAGGTCGAAGTATTGGGTAGAGGGTCCTGCAGAGACGGAGCCAAGTATGTTTTCTAAAATTCTGGATATATAAAAGATTAGTTATGGACTTTATTTTACGTTTTTCAGACAGTGAGCTTATCTTGGGCCTTTTTTAAACTGTCCCAAAAAATCCTACAAGTCTCAAATTTTTTAGAGAGCTTTTAGAAAAAATTATTCGCTTTTTATTTTTGGTGGATAATGATTCCAAGCTCCTTATTTTTCCACAATAAAAACTTTAGCTGGAACGTTTTCAGAATAGGCGACACTCTGACAGCGTCTTATGAATTGTTTGACACGGACGGCAAAAGAAGGGTTCCCAAAACTATGATGGTAGATTTCGTCATAAAAAGTGGAACGGTGAGCTGGTAATCATATTACGCTCTGCATTTCAATAAAATATGTTCTTGAGCCACAAAATTCTTTGATTTTTCAATAGCAGAATATTTTCAGAGCAAAACAGTTCAATAGCAGATCGAAAAATGGAAGAATTATTTTTCAGCTTAATCAAAACGTAGCGGGAGTTTGTTTTGGTGGCACTTTTCTTGTGGTCGGTCCGAATAAGGACAAGGGCGAGCGCGAGATTCCAAACGAACCTGGTTTCGTTTTTTGAATACATTAAGCAAATTATTTCACTTTTCAAGATGACTTGGTGCTGATCGCGGTTATGCGTGTCGAAAATATTGAAGAGAAGAATGAAAACGACAAAAAATTTTCCAATACTTCAATTTTCTTCTCTCTTCTCATTCTTACGATCCATTCTTTCTATACGTCATAAGGACTTTTTCAAATAAAAAGTGTAAGGTGTGCGAGTTTTTTTTTTGGTGAAGGGTTTTGAAATTTTCCGTTTATGGACTTTTTAGATTTCCTCGCCTATTTTCATAGATTCTTATCAAAACAGTCTGACTTCTCTGCGCCTTGTTTTCCCTCATCAGCAAGATATAAATCAGTATTGAGCTCAGGAAGGTAGTATCAACGGAATATAAGAATAATTTTTAACATCAGAAGGTAGTACTGGCTTAGTTCTATTAAAGTAGCCGAAGGCCTCAAAAAATGGTTTGAGATGTAGCGGTTTGGAGCTGGGAATTTTTTTTGGGTAGTTCTTCATCTTTATCTCTTTCGCCATTTTTTTTGCTCAATACATCTTAACACGATGAACATGTTCTAAAAGAACTTCATCAAGGCGTTTATAGACAAAATAAAACACATTTCTCAAAAGTCTCTCATAAGCCGGACGATTACTTCAATCGAACGAAGCTGACAAACATATGTGCGTCTGAATTTCGAAAATTTTAAATATTCAATGAAACGTTTCAAACTCGGCTCCCTGCGTGCTTCAAAATCACAAAAAAGAAGTCTCAAGCAGAAGAGTCGATAATTTTTGATTGCTATCAACAGAACGATCGTAGAGAGTAATCCATGAAGACCAAATGAAAAACAGCCGAGAACGCCGATGTCTGAAATGACCAGAATTAAAAAATGTGATTTTCAAATTGAAGTTACATAGAACGTTGTCACTTGACGATGACTCCATGAATTCTGATGCTATCATCGGAAATGTTATGAACACCATAGGTATAATGATCTTAAGTCATTATTTGAAAAAACTTCGAATCGTCGCTGTCGGAAAGTTCGCTAGAATTGAATTCGCACCAAGACCAACCAACAAAAAAATGAAAGCTATGAAAACCTGGCAACAAAGCGAAATGAAAATAGTCCTTTGTTGCTTGCGAGTTTTGGCAGAAATATAACTCTGGAAACTTAGCAAATAATAAATAGTTTGGGAACAAAATAATCCGGTACTTAAAGCACATATAAGGAACGCGATTTTTGTTGCCTTCTCGCAAAGTTCGGTTGAGCCGATTATGAAAGCTTCCGAGGTGAAAATACCGTCTGGGGCACAGCCAAGCTCCTGAATTTTTTTGAGTTGAGCCCTAAGAAATAGATTTTGAGAAATTTATTACAAGAAAGTTTCGCGCCAACAGATGAGGTCCCTTCGAATTCAATGATTCAACTGTTTTGAAACGTCTTGTACAAAAATTTTTTTAAATGTTTTTTTAAAGTTGTATGGGTCCTTTTTTTGACTATTATAGTAAAACAAGTTAGTAAGAGAAAACGGAACCAAGTCCAAAAAACAATAATTTTGCCTTCTCAGTATTTATTTCAATAACTATTATTATGTTCTGACGCACAAAAGTCTTGTCTGAATGTAAAAAAATTTTGAGTGTCACTGAAGCCTTTTGTGCTTCAACATGTGATTTTCTTTTAACATTTCAATGTTAGAATCTCTGAAAAATTCCCGCCACGCTATCAAAAAAAAACACAATTTGTTTTTATTTTCAAGAAAAAACTTACTTGTATAGCTTCGATTTTCACTATCAATTGGTCTTCAGGAATGTTGATATAAATCACAAATAAAGGGATGGCGACCCCTAGAAAGTTAAACCAGAGATATATACTTCTTTTTAGTCCAGTAAAATAGAAAAAGCTTTCTTTCGGGGCCACACAATAATGCCGATGTTCGAATAGTGTTATAATAGATATTGCCAAACCTGTAAAAAAATGCAATAAGTATTTGTTTATCGTATAATAATCCAAGACTGGCTTTCAAATTGATTTTTTTGAATTCAAACTGTTATCCAACAATTTTCGTATACTTTGCAACATCGAAAAGTAGGAAGTTTTGCATAACAGAACTCATAGAATCTTCCACTCGTACATCAGAAGTATTCCAAAAGTTTTCCTAGTTTCATAGGCTTATCTTGAATGAATACTCACTTGCACCAACGTAAAATAAGACTCCAAACTGAGCTTTGATCGGTATACCCATTTTTTGAAATGATCCCATTACACGAGAACCCCAGACCGGTGAGAAAAATATAGGAATCACTAAAACGGTCGCCAAAAGGTCTACCAGAAAGCTCCTGAAGTTTTTATAGAAGTTGATAATTAGAAAGAAAGACTGATTCATGCAGACTGAAAAATTAAAACTGTCTAAAATCTCTACAGACCGTGCAAATAAGCTTATTAACCAAGAAGCTTAGTTTGCCATGATTTTCGGTGTTTTTTTTTCCTCTGTTACAGTGCTCTTCTTCTTCTTCTTCCTCTAATTAACCAAAATCTCAGAGTTTTGAGTAGCTCTATTGCAAGAAAATATTGTTGCATTGAAAAGAAATTTTCTCAGTTCGATTTGAATGGCTCTTGGCTCTCCCAATCTTTTGTTATTTTTTTTCTCTTTCAGGTGGTCATTTACATTCAGCCGAAATCAGTTTGTAATGTTCCACATTTTTAAGTTTTGACCTTCCATTTTTTGAAGAAAAAAACCTACCAAAGTTGACAGTTAAGAAGTAACCATTTATAGCGTCTCATCATACTCGATGGAGATTTATAGACAATACAATAAAATGCAAGAATATTAAGAGGTAGACTGATTCCAAAACTGATGTGTTGGGCTATTTGAAGATTTATTTCGTTGAAAAACGGATGTGGCTTACAAGTTGGGAAGTTCATGAAGATGAAATAAAAAGGGAGGAAGTTCCGAAGGAACACAAACCGACAAATAATTATGGAGAAAGGAGAGTCGTGCAAAGTTCATGCAACTTTTTGTTTAAAAAAAACACTTTTTACGATTTTCCCAAGGTTTCAATTTGATCTGGCTTTGTTTCTTTGGAGCCCTCAAACTTTTAGCTTCTGGTCAGACTACAAACTTGCTTTATAGATTTCACTTTATCATTGACAACTTTGGAAAACATTCATAGAAGGTTCTCGAATGATTGAGATCTAAAGAGGTCTTTTCAAGCATTACTTTTTTGAATCTTTACATCAAAAAAGGCTTTTCATGCCGTGCTCATGAAAAGTGATATCGCGAAATTCGAAAGAGCCGTCGAAGAGTGAAAGAGATAACTAATTTTCGGAGAGTCAGAGGCAATTTTGCAATACGGGAGACTTACTTAGAACACGGAATCAGAAAGGTTGACGAAAAGATACTGGAACGTTTTGAAAGGCTGCTTTCTCACAGTAAATCTGGTAATGGGCGCTCCATGGACCTAAATTGTGTTTGAAAATTGTAGAAAGTTTTTGTCGGGCAGCTTGCCTCCAGAATAGGCTCTTGTTTGAAAAATATTTGAATGCAAACTAAAGACATTCTTTGACAAATTTCATTCATTTCCCCCGGCAAAAATTACAAAAAAAAACTTTTTTCGAATATTCGAGGTCATTTTAGTGTAACAGAGCTGACAACGACAAGCGATCCTGAAATTTGAGTTTTTTTGTTTCAATACTCTGTGAAGATTTATAAACTTGAATCTTTTCGCGATTTGAAGCTAAAACAGAAGAGTTTCTCGCAAAATGCTCGATAGGATCTTATTGTAAACAACAAAACGATCGTAGAAAGTAAGCCATAAAGACCGTAAGTGAAGCAGCCGATGATACCGACGTCTGAATGAGAGATAAAATTTAAATTAACATATTTTTAACTTCAGGAACAGTAAAAAAATCAGGTTTGAGATTATTATTAAAAATCAGGTTTGAGATTATTTTTGAAAGATTGACCGAAAAAAATTTCGCTTTGTGGATTATTATATTACGGTAAGCAACTTCGCGTGCACCCTTTTTGTTTACTGCGAAGTCATAATTGTCTGGAAAAAGCGATGCGAAACTTCACAAAATGGCATTATTATCGAAAACCATTTTTACTGATAATAAGCTTTTTAGAGTCACACAGATAATTGCTCCCTTCGGACGGATTAAACTTCAATACGAGAGAAGATTCTACGAAGGGACATGCAATTAGAATCATAGGTATGACGATCTGAAAAAAACTGATTGATTTTGAAAAGTTTGGAAGAAAAATACCTGGGAACACAGCGAAATGAAGAATGCCCTTTGTTGCTTGCGAGTATTGGCAGAAATGTGACTTTGAAACTTCAATAAATAATAAACAGTTCGAAAAACGAAAAATCCGCCACTGATAGCACAGACAAGGGTCGCTAATCTTGTTGTCATTCGGCCATTTGTAGAATAACAAAAGATGGAAGATTCCGGCAAGAAGAACCCAGTTGGAACGCAGCCGAGTGCCTTGAAAAAAAAATTGAAAAAATTTGAATGACTTTTTCTTTGTGAAGTTGGAACGCAGCCGAGTGCCTTGAAAATTGAAAAATTTGAATGACTCTTTGTGAAAAACCCGTTACAAAAAGACATAACGCAATCCTCACCTGTATGGACGTAATTTTTGCGGCCACCTGGTCTTCAGGATAATTTATGAAAAGGACGACGACTGGAATTCCTATTCCTGAGAAAGTGAGCAACAAGTAAATAATTCTTCCCGTTTTATTGAAATACAAAAAACCGCTTTTTGGAGTCACACAGTAATGTCGATGCTCGAACAGGGCTATCACCGAAGTTGCCATGCCTGGAATTTGTTTTTTCTTCAGAAAACTGCGTATAATTCATTGATATCGGAATTTTTAAAAGGTAAAAATGATTCAAAAATGGAATTGGATCTTACTCCCTGAAATTATTCATTAAAAATTACCTCAAACCTCACGTTTCAATTTCAACAAAAACCCACATGTGGATATAAAATAGATGATTCCAAATTGAGCTTTTGTCGGTACACCAATTTTATAAAATAAACCGACTGGACGGGCTCCCCAAGCAGGTGCAAAAAATATTGGTAACATGAGGATAGTGGCCATTAGGTCCAACGTGAGGCTCCTGAAATTTCGTATAGAATTTTTAGGTATAGTGTTTCTCTTTTTAAACTTGTCAAAGTTTTTC